GTGGTTATTTTTGTATTAAGGGAAACAAAAAAAGTGTCAAAACCTTTTATGAAGAAACAATAATAATATGAAGACACCTTGAATGTCACAAGAGAGGAAGCCGTGCTCTCTTTGAAGCGGTTTTTCTGGCCACAGCTTTAATCAGATTTCTTCTTTTTTATTGCTCGCTGTTCTCATGTGTAAACACTGTCAGAGGAACTAAAGGAGATGAGCTGATGTGCCACATCTAAGGGTGTGACTCCATTTACAGATGTAACTGGATTTACTGATGTCATGGTTTTTGTGGTTACAGGGTCTATGTTAAGGCTTTGGATTTGGTTAAAACAATATCAAAGTTGTGTTTTCATTTGTGACTGTCTTTGTCACATTATGATGTATTAAGGTAAAGATCTGAATACAAATCTTAGTTTTTAACCTTTTATATGGTGTCCAAATGTTGCAACATGTGGAGTAAAAGTCGGACACACACACAGGTTATGTGTGACAGAGACAGGAAGGCTGATCGACGTCAGTTCAATCACACTATGTCCTCTCTGATTGGCAGCTACAGGCTGACCTGGGTAAACAACTAAAGTTCCCTCAGAACATTGCAAAAACATCCCTCCGGCCAGACATAATTATTTCTGAGGCCTCAAAACAGCTGATCATGCTGGAACTCACAGTGCCCTGGGAAGAGCGGATTGAGGAGGCCAATGAAAGGAAACGAGGAAAGTACCAGGAACTAGTGCAGGAGTGCAGGGGAAGGGGCTGGAAGACTTTCTATGAGCCCATAGAAGTGGGTTGTAGGGGCTTTGCAGGACGATCACTCTGCAAAGTCCTAGGCCGGCTGGGCGTGGCTGGGGCAGCCAAGAAGAGGGCCATCCAGGCTGTGAGTGAAGCGGCAGAGAAAGCCACAAGGTGGCTGTGGATCAAGAGGGCTGATCCGTGGGTAGCTACTGGTACGCAGTCGGGACCTGATCACCCCCGGCTGGGTCGCCTGGGTGAGGGTGTATGATGTTGTGAGACCCGAAACACCTGATGACCCCAGGATACATCACTGAAGATGCGTACCAGTGCATCCAGGAGATGTGTCTTTATAGTATAGGGACAGGAACAGCTAAATGTTGAGATGTGTACTCAAGTTGTAAAAGTGTTGATCGCATTATTATTATTATTGTTGTTGTTAACTGAGAAGCAGTATTTTAGTTATACACTAGGGGGCACAATTCGCCGGGACACAGTGATGTTTCTCTCATGATAGGCTGTGTGGCAGGCAGGCAGGAAAAAGGACCCAAAATGCAGGACTCTCAAAGACGGGACTGGAACTCAAAACGCAGCTTTAATGCTGGAAAAATCTCCTTATAAATCACTCTCACAAAAACAAAACTCAGAACAGAGGAACTGGAACACGACAAACACACAGCATGTAGAAAGTAGGAAACATTAACGACGCGACGAAGGGCAAAGGCAAACACAGGGCTTAAATCAGGGGCGGGCAACTCCAGGCCCCAAGGGCCTGCAGGTTTT